GCCAGCGAGGGGGCAGCGAGGGGCCACATGGGGCAGCGTGCCAGCTCGGGCCAGAGGTCTCCCTGGGCTCACAGGACCAGGGTGTTTCCCACAGGGAGGGTAACCGTGCGATGAGGGAACACAGACAGGGCCCTGAGACGGCGTGGATGGTGTTTAGGGATGTGGGGGGGCGCAGGCAGGAGCCGGGCCTGGTTGCGAGCTGCCTGTCTGCCTCTCTCTGGTGCTGTTGGCTCTCTCGGGTCGACTGCCTTTCCCCGTCCTCAGCTGGACAGATGGGGCACCCCGTGCTGGGCCTGGGAAGGGGGAGCCCCCGAGGGAGCAGGGCAGCTGAGGGAGGTATGCGGGGGGCTCAGCCAGTGTCACGGGGCCTGCGAGAGCTGTGCTCATGCAGCTCGGGGGCCGGCCGCCCGAGGAGGCTCTGCTCTGAAGGGCAGGAGGGACACTGCAGGGAGAGAGCCCAATGGGGACCTGACCCCTGGGGCCCGAGACACCCAAGGATGTCACCGTCAGGCACAGCCACAGCCACCAGGTGGCCTCAAGGCAGGAGCGGCCTGAGCAGGGCCGTGGAGACAAAGGACCCCGTCCTGCTCAGAGCCTGGTACTCACTATGCAGCATCCACGCCCTCCGTCCCGTAGTTCCTGATGCTCGTGGCGGCCGTGACGCCGCAGATGATGGAAGGAGCCCCTCCACTGATGAGGTAGAGCCTGCGGGGTGGGGCCACTCACTGCCAGGACCCACCCGCACCCCCCGGACCGCCGCCCTCCTCCAGGCCAAGGAGGGGCGAGGCCCAAGTGTCCTGGCCGAGCAGCTGTCTGGGCAGCACCGGTCCAACCTGACCGAGGAGCTGCTGCCGGACCCGGCCTGACCTGGCCTTCCCCGTGCCCCACATCCCTCCGTGCCTCCCCCCAAGTCCCATAATGTCCCCTGTTCCCCCAACATATCCTGCATCCCCCACGCCCCGCATTCCTTCCTGCCTCCCCCGTGTCCTCCACATCCCCCCCTTGCCCATCCCCACGCCCAGCCCCCACATCCTCTCACTGCCTCCCCCATGTCCCCCACCCCTGCTCGCTGTCTGCTGTGCTCAGGGACAGAGATGGCCTTGGCCAGGCCCAGCACCTTGGCGGGGTGGGGGGGCAATGCTTGCTCTCGTTCATGCAGCAGAAATGGCCAGAAAGACATGAAGCCCCTGAGTGGCAGTGGGACCGTAGTGGACAGGGCGGGACTGTAGGGGATACTGTGGTCAGCTGCCCAGGCCCCTCAGGCAGACGTGCTCATCCCCCGGTTGCGGGGGCTCTCGGCGGCATTCCCTCTGGAGCTGCCTCCAGCTGCAGCCCAGCTCACACCTGCTGCAGCAGGTTGCTGGCCCCCGGAGACCAGCCTGCGCCTGTGGAGGCCAGTCAGCCTGGTAACCTTGGAGAGAGGAACTACAGGGGCTGTCCCGGCTGCTCGTCGGCCCTGGAGCTTTTGTGCTGCCTGGGAGCCCAGCGTCCCAGCTGCCTGGGGGTAAGTTCTGGCATCTGACCCGTCCCCAGGAGGGCAGCAGTTCATGGGTGGAAGCTGGCCCCACCCCAGTTGTGAGCTGGCTTTCCGGTCTGCAGGGCCAGCAGCTCCAGCCACGGCCATCTGAGGGCCTGACCACTGATGTGGGATGCTGGCGTGTGAGGACATCACAGGCACCTGGCCATGCAGCACGCTCCTTGTCACTTAGGGTGGGGGTGGTGCGTGATGTGCGGCCTCTGGGGCAGGACTGAGGGGTCAGCTCAGAGACCACCCCCTAGAGATGGGAGTGGTTTTCCGGGGTTTGCAAACACCCAAATCAGTGTGACGGTGTCGTGTCCCCAGTGGGGTCCAGGGCCACGGGTGGGAGTGGAATGAGCCTGCATAGGGTCACTCACAGGGGACACTGTGCCTCCCTGAATTCTGTATGCAGCGGGCGCATCCTTCCGACTGAAGGAGAAACACACATTTGGACAAAGTTAAAACCAAGAGGATTGTCAGCTGGCCTTCACGTCAAGAAACGCCAAATGAAACCTTCAGGCTGAAGGGGTGTTGTACTGGACAGAAACCTGGACGTATGAAAACCTCAGAAACACTAAATACTGGGGTAAATATAGAAGGTTTTGTTTTCTCTTAATTTCTCTAAAATATATATAACTGCTTAAGGATAGTCCCGGACTGTGCGGCTCCTCCACCCCCCGGCGTAGTCCGAGCCAGACGGCGCCCTCGAGACCTGCAGGTGAAGCTGTCTCAGCCTCTCCACCACCTCCGCCCAGGCCCCCTCGGGCCGCTGGGCGGCTCTTCCTCTGCGGGGAGCTTCATCAGGCCCCTCAGAGCTGCTCCCCCTCCCCGTCCACTCCTGGGGGACAGGGGCGAGCCGGCTCCCTGGCTGCGGTGCGGGCTCGGCCAGCAGAGGGCGCTGGAGGCCGCCGCAGGAAACTTCTTGCTGCTGCCGCTATTCGCGGTGCGGACGAGCAGGACTTGCAGTCCGTGGAGCCCTGCCCGGGCCAGTGTCGGCCTTTGCCGGCCCCAGCAAGGACCCTCCTGCAGCAGCCGCAGCTCGTCCAGTGGCTGGGGGCCCGCCCCACCCATCACCAGCCAACTCCAGCCCCACCCACTCCAATGAGGTTGTAACCCCGGGTTGGAGGGGCCGCCTCGAGAAGCTGGAAAGACACAGAAGCGGACCCCACCCTGGGGCCCCTGAGGACCAGCCTGCCTGCACCTGGTTTAGCCCTGCCCTCGGCCGTTTCTGTCCGCTCTGGAGCCCCTCCCCCGTCTGCCACCGAGCACCCAGGAGGGCCCTGTGGTGACCTCCCTGCCAGAGGTGACGGTCACCCAGGCCAGAGGAGCTGAGCGGGGGTGGGGGGGGGCACATGGATGGCGGGGGTGGGGCAGGGTCCAGGCCCTCTTCTGAAGTCTGACCAGTCGGGTCATCCGGAGCCCCTGCACTGAGACCCCCGCACTGAGACTGTTTGTCACAGGAAGCCGGCATCCAGGGGTGGACACATGGCTGGCGCAGCCCAGGGGGCAAAGGGAACGTCACGTGCAGACGCGGGCAGCAGTGATCCAGGGCACCTGCCCGGGCCCGCCTGTCAGGCCAGGATCCTCCAGGGCGATGCCGTCCTCCCGGTCCAGGCAGCATCCTTCGTGCTGATCCGGCTCCTGAAACCCTAGAGATCAGGCTGATGGCTTCAGCTTCGATGAAGGAGCAGCTAAACCCCTGCCCGAGTAGCTGGCTTTCAGAGTCACTGACGTGCGTGGAACACGGCCTCTCGTGTCCAGCTTGCACTGACCAGGGTGGATGGAGGGAGGTAATAACCATCGGGGATTTGATGCCTGGAGGAAAGCTGGTGGACAGAGACCCCGGGGCCACGCGAGCGTGAGGGGCGTCTGAGCACTGACCATGACGAGCAGATGGTCTGTTCAGAGTGTGCCCTGAGGGGAAAACGTAACTGGGATGCTTCACGACCACCAGGATGCATTGAAACGCAGCAGCACATTGGCCAGGACTCACTCAGGGACAGGAGCCAGCACATGGGGCTGTGCGCTCACTTTTACCTGGAAAGGGCTCCTGTGTTCCTCGGCCAGTCTGAGAGCAGGACGCCAGCTCCTGGGTGTGGCCTCCCAGGGCCTCTGGGGACACGGGCGTCAGGCTGGACCCCTCCCGCCGTTGCACCGGAGGGGCTGAGTGGAGCCGCTAGCCCAGGGCTTGGCCGAGCACGACCCAGGTGGTGCCTGTCTTCAGAACTTCTGCTGCCCGAGGAGGGATCCAGGCAGAGGGACCCCAGGGAACTATGCCTCCACCCGCAGGCTGTCCAGAGTGGGCATCCACTGTGTGGGGGACAAAAGGACGAACCGCCAGGATGTGGGCACCTCAGCGCCAACGGCTTCTTCAGGTAAAACCCACCAGCCAACCGTAAGTAACGGGAAGCCATCTAGGTGCACTTATCAGAAAGGGCAGAACAGACCGAGAAATGAGGCTGCAATTATGTGCAGCTGAACTGGGGGTTAGCCCCCTGAGCATCTTAAAATTGAGCAAGAAGTTCTGATTCTGAGGTGGGTCCACTTTGGCTGACTCCTGCGGATCCGACGACCGTGCTGAAATCCTAACCCCGGGGCGATGGTGCCAGGATGGGCCTTGGTCATGAGGGTGGAGCCTCACGCATGGGAGTGGGGTCTTCAAGGAGACCCGCAGTCCCCCGGCTCCCTGTCCTGTGAGGATACAGCAAGAAGACGGTCATCAAGGAGCCAGGACACTGGTCCCCACCAGACACCGAATTTGCTGGTGACTTTTTCCTGGACATCCAGCCTTCAGACTGTGGGAAGTAAGTGTCTGCTCTTTAAGCCACTGACCTGTGTTGTTTTGTTTTCCTCACCCAAATGGACTAAGACATTAATGAGGGCGAAGTGGAGAGACATGTCCACTCAGAGGCCTCGGCTGAAGGGGACTGGCCAGCGGGGCAGCTGGGGAGCTGCCTGTCCCGTCCACTGGGGACCACAGTCCTGCGCGCCCTGCACGGCGGGCCAGCCACACCCCAGCGTGGACTGGACGACCTGCGAATGGCTGGGCTTGGGGACCTGTGATCACCAAATCGTACACAGCACCTTGCGTGGTGATGACACAGGCAGGCAGACGGGGACAAGGACAGAGAGAGCTTGACCAGGGCTTGAGGGGACAGATGGTCGTGGCGTTTCAGCGCCCAGTCCTCCTCGCCGTGATGGCCCTCAGGGTGGCCGCGCTGAGGCTCCCAGTCCCTCTGCACGGGGATCCCGGCCCTGCTGTCTCCCTCAGTGTCTCGGAACCTCTGGTCTCTTTCTCTCCAGCTTTTCTCCCTCTTCTCTCACCCGAACAGTCGGACACGTGTCGAGAGCTGGGGAGCTTGTCCTGGACGGCGCCCCCTCCACGGGCGAGAGTGCTGACCGCCGGCCCGCTCTGCTCCTGGACGTGTGGCGTGGGGACCCGGCTCCCAGTGTGTCCCCACCTCACTGACTGACACAGCTGCTCTGTGTGTGGGGCTGGGAGCTCAGCTGCTGCGGTGCTTGGGCTGTGGGGGCAGCCACGTGGCCAGTCCCCGGGGCCAACCTGACAGAGTTCCACCTGGCTCCCTGGACAGAAGTCCCAGTGCGTTTTGCTCCTGGAGGAAGGAGCCGGCTCGGTGTGGTCGTCCTGCGTGAAGACTCCTCCATCTGGGGTCCTGCTGGGCGCCCCCACACCCTCTCAGCCTCCGAAGTGTGGCTCACACCCTGACCGGCAAACCCCGCCCTGGGCTCCGTCCGCCACTTGTTCCTGCTGCTGGGCTGGCTTTCCAACCCAGTGAAGCTCCCTGGAGCCAACACCCCTTGACCCCATGGCGGCCCCAGGAGGGCCCTGCCGGTGCCCCTTGTGGCACAGTGACCCTGACAGTGAGCACAGCATGCCTTCTCCGCAGCCTCGTCCACGTGTCCTCTGGGGTGGGGGCTTCATGACCCTCACGGCATCTGCCTTCTGAGAACCCCCTCCCCACTTTGCACGCCCTGATCCTCCCGGATGCGGCCCGGCGTGTCTTCTCCCACCGTGGGCCCCGTGCGGGTCCTGTTCAACCGCAGGCACGGAGCCTCTGCTTCTGTGCTGAGCCACGGGAGCCCGGACGGGGCGGGGAGACCCAGGCCTCCCACGGCGACACTGAGCCTCTGGCCCCTCGTGTCAGAGCGGAGCTGGATCAGACCTCTCCCGCCCATACGGGCTCTGAGCGCGTTCACCCAAGGCCGAAGTAGACGACATTCACGGAGTCATAGCCACTTATCTACCTGTGGTTTCAGCGTGAACGAGCAGGACACGCCGGGGCTCGGGTGTGGTTTCACGTCCCTGTGGACACGCTGCTGGTCGTGCTGGGACCTCGGGAGGCGGCACCAGCACCACGGGGCACGAAGGCTGGACCAAGGCTGCGTGGACACTGGAGGTGTGGTGGGACGGGAGGCTCTGCACGGAGTCCCTCCAGGTCGCGGTGTGCCAGAGGACCCCACGATGGGCTGAAGGAGCTGTGTCCTGGCTCAGGGAGACCTGGTGGTGGGAGCCGGACGGGGCTCCTGGCCTGGGTCCACGTACAGTCTGGCCCCCTCCCTGGGCGGCTCCCCTGGGTGCCCGCTCTGCTCTCTCTTCCTCTCTCCCTGAGCCCATGACGATGCCGCCTGTGTGCCCGCGTGCTGGTTCCCCAGGCTGGGCCTCCCCAGCTGGGGAGAGCCAGGTGGTCCTGCTGCCGAGAACCCCAGGCCCAGCTGAGGCTCCGCGTCTGTCCTGCCCGCAGATTCCCATTTCAGAGGCTCCTTGTCGGCTCCAGGAGGTGCTGCCCCAGCAGGAGGCCCCAGGGCAGCACCGGCGGGCCAGGGGCCCAGTTCACAGTCACCTCACAGCCTTGAGGTGGGAGCTCTGCTCGGTGATGCCTGGGCCTGGCCCGGGGCCTGAATCAAGGTGACCCCGCAGGGCCTGGCCACACTCCACGCCTGTTCCATTCCTCACACAGGGAAAGCAGACCTGGCCGGGCAGCCACACAGCAGGACCTGCGGAGTCGCCCGCCCCCTCTCCAGCCTCCCTGGCTCCTGGCCCTGCCCTCAGAGCTTCCTAAATGTGGGCAGGGACGAAGCTCTGTGTGTTTCCCTTCCCTGGAACCGAGCTCTCCCCCCTCAGCCACGTGGCCCTTTCCGTGAGGCTGGAGTTTCCTCATCCAGCTGTCACGAAGGCTTCCAGCACAATTCTGCGGAGTCTTACTTTCCCCTGGAAACCGAATAATCTGAGGTAGATAAACAGCGCACGCACGTGTACCCAGCAGGCGGAAGGCGAAACCGCAAGGACGGTCAGAAAGGGCCTTGAGGCGAAGGAAGAGCCCACGAGACACCACAGCCTCCGGGTCGGCGGAGGCGGTGCCAGAGGGAAACCCGGGGCCGGGGCCTCCGCAGTCACAGCAGAAGGGCCTCAGACGTGGAGTCTGGCTTCACGCTGCGAGGAACACACTGAGCTCGAAACAGCAGAGGGAAGGAAGGAACAGAGACAGAGCAAAGATGACACAACGGAGGAGATTTTACTAATGAGCTGCTGACGCCCAAACTGGGACAACCTGGACCCCTCACGCCTCAGCGCCCTTGTTTGTAAAGTGGAACCAGCCACGTTCCCGCTAACGCGTGTGGGAGCGCTCTGCGAGCTACGAGGTATCATGGAACTGACTGTGTTGGACGCATTTTCTGTTCTAAACAAATGGAGAATAATTGTGAAACACACACCGACCCTTTAGCAGACAGCCTGGCAGTCTGTGCTCAATACAGGGCCTCTATTTCAAAACAGAGAGATAAGGAAATACAGAAAATCGATGGAATCGGACGGTTCTTTTAAAAGGACCAACAGAACTGGCCGACCATTAGCTAGACTAAGAAAAAGGAGAGCAGGCCAGTGCAGCCTGGGAGTTCCAGCCAGAGCAGCTAGGCAAGACAGGGAGTGGGGGAATCGGAACCGGAAACCAAGCAATAAAACGCCCGCCACGCCGACGACACGACGCGCATACGATCCACGAGGACGCCGCCGGACCTGGAAGCCATTCCAGCAAAGTCGCAAGACATGCGCAACACACAAGACCAGCGGTGTCTCTGCACGTAGGCAGTGCTCAGCCTGAGCGCAAAGCGAAGGGAGCAGTCCCGTTTACAAGAGCAGAGGAACTACTCAGGGAAGCGTTTGGCCGCGGAGCACAGACGTGCGCCCTGAAAATTGGAAAGCACTCTCAGGAAGAGTCAAAGAAGACTGCGTTTACGGACTAGATCCTGTTACTGGCATTAGAAGGCGGCACCTCCTGATGTGCCCTACAGACTCGGCGTGATCCCTGTCAGAATTCAAGGACTGTCTCTGCAGAAATGGAGAAAGCAAGTTTAATACTCATGTGGGATTTCACAGCTGATATCTTTTTGTTTCTCTTTGGGAAACTGCAGAGCGGGGCTGGGGGCTCTGGCCGCTGCCCGCACCACCAGGCCCTCCTCGGGGCTCCGGACACGTGTGGCGACCTGCTGGCCGGCTCCCCACGACACCCTGGCAGGAGGTGGTGCTGGTGATGCACAGGGACTTCCCAGCACTGGGAGCGGGGTCAGGGAGGCAGAAAAAAGGGTGCCCGTGGTTGGGCGGCGGGAGGGCCCCACTGATAAGGGTGCTTCTGGGTTGAGAACGACTTCAGGGCCCGGAGTGTGGAGGGCAGCTCATGAGCGCCCCGGGGCCTGGGAGGAAAGTCTCCAGTCCTTGGGGTCCCCACAGTCAGCCTCTGGTCTCCCCGAGAAGGCCCAGCTCATCACATAGGCTGCCAGCCCCAGGCCGGGCCGGACCAGAGAGAGCAGCAGGGGAGCAGGTCTGCAGTGGACCACCCCCCACTGCCCCTCCACTCGCCACCTCCAACTCCGCCACCCCCATGTGCACCTGTGGGGGGTGTGCCTGCCCAGACGGGTGGGGGCCGAGCACCATGTGGACACACCCTAGTGTTAAGGCTTCTTGTACCAAAGGAAGGGGACATGGGTTCGGGGCTGGTCTCCAGGCAGCACTGAGAGGAGCAGCGAGTTTGACGGGCCCGGGCCAGCCCCCCACCCTGAGCCCTGTGGCCCCTGGCGTCTGGCTGGGTTACATGCCTTTTGAAGCCGCCAGAGAGAAAACAGTGTGCTCCGCCCCACTCTTCAAAAGGCCGGGCAACTCTTCAATCAATTTCAGGCCCCAAACCATTTTGAGACTGATTTTTAGCCCAGGGGACCTGGGGCCTCCTGAGCAGGAGGAGCGAGGTGATGAACCCCCGCCCTGGCCGGAGTCCCTGCGGGAGCACCGACGGCCCGGCTGTCGGGGCGTCTGCTCCATCTGAGAACCAGGTTGTGCTGGAAACCTTGGGGCAAGGGTCCTGTTACGTAAGCAACACAGGACGCTGTTTCATCTGCCTCCGAACGGGCTTCTGCTGGGCTGCGGGCCTGCCTAGGCCTGGCCGACGGCCCTTCGGTTTCAAAGCCAGACAGAGCTCGGTCTGAGGAGCTGGGCGTCCCCAACCCCTCGCACAGGCCACTGCCTCACATTGGCAGCAGCTGCCCCTCACGGGGACCACCCGCGTGGGGCCATCTCGGGATCCCTGGTGAAAGTTTCCCAAACACCCAAGTCCCCCCGCCCCGGCCAGCGTCCAGGGCAGCCTCTGGCCGAGGCGTGAGCCACCACGAGCCGTCGCTCTGGGGAAGCCCAGCCAGTGGCTCGCGCTCTTTGAGCTCAGGTGATGCCCTGGAGACGGTGGCAGGTCAGACGGCTTTCAGCAGCTGGTGCCCAGGCTCAGGGCCACGCAGGCCCATGGGAGCCGGGCTCTTGCCAATGGCCAATTTGGATTCAGTCTTGGTTCAGAAAGTGGCAGGGTAGAGCCAGCGGAACACTGACTGTGAGGACAGCCGCCCGGTGACGGGGGCAAGCACAACCTTGTCTCCAGGAGCCGAGATTGCTCCTGGACGGGGAGTGAGACGGCCTCCTGCTGTGGCCCGGACAGACTGAGCCCCGGACAGACTGAGCCCCCAGGCTTTCCCGGGCTCGGGGCTCTGGGAGGAGGTCTCCGGCTCCCGCCAGCCCCAGGTCCGTTCCTGCCACATCCACCTCGAACCCTCCTGGCCCGAGGAAGCAATGGGGACGGCTGGCTGGAGTGGGGGCTCCTTTCCAAATCCGCCTGCCACTGGCCAAAAGGCCCAGGCTGCTTGGTCACCTTGAGACCAGCAGGTGAGGGTGACTTGGCTCCCTCTTAGGTCTCCAAGACCCATGAATGAGCCGAAGCCAAGACCAGGGTGCTGACCCACCACAGAGCCGTCTCCATGCGCGCCCACCCACAGAGGGCGCAGGGGTCTCCCAGCGGCAGCTCAGCACACAGGAGGGCACGCCCAGCATGCAGACAGACGCAGGCCTGCCTGCACTGCCCCTGCACCCCGTCCCTGGGCACCCACCCCAACACAGCGCCCCACCCCAACCCCTGCCACCTGGGCCATCGGGTCATCCTCGGGCCCCAAGTATCCTCGTGGCCAGTTTGCCGAGACCCCTGGAAGGAGGTCTAGGGCCGGGGGCTCTAGTAGCCGGAGGTGGCCAGGCACGTGTGCTCGGTACCTGAGCAGGGGCTGCTTGGGGTACGGTGGCTGGTCTGTCCCCGGGCACAGGGGGGCCTTCTTGGTCACCTGCTTGTAGATGTTCCTGGCGGTGACTCCAATCCACAGCATGGTGGACAGCGTGGAGTAGTGCAGCACGATGCCCACCTGGGGGGAAGAGGGCCAGTGAGCCCACCGCGGCACGCCTCCCCAGGTCCCAGCCGCCCTGCTTCGCGTCCTTCGGGGACACCTCAATGGTGAGAGGGAGGGAGACTGGGAGGAGCCCCAGGGTTCTCGGGGCAGACGCCACCCTGCACAGGGGCCTACGGGCTCCTGGAGACATGTGGGTCCTGGAACAGGGCAGCCTCGCTGTCCTGCGGGGAGGTGGGGGCGGGGCCCGCGGGCCGTCCTGCGAGGTGAGCACACGCTCCCCGCTCACGGCCCCTGCACACGTATACACATCTGTCTCAGTGCCGGTGCCCAGCCCCGCGGTCTCCCAGACGCCCTGCAGGTGAGTGAGACGCCCTGGGGCTCGGAGGCTGAGGTCCACTCCCTGCCGGGCGAGTGGCTCGTTACTATGGAAACAGCCCAGCCGCCCATGGCCGGCGGCACTGCATTAGCTAGTTACACACTCCACACTCCTGCCTCCATCCGATCCTGAGGTTACCGTTGAAGTAACGACCTGCCACTTCAGAATGACAAGTAAAATCTGGCTGTAGATGGAAAGGATGTAAATGTTTAAGGAACACAGAGATTCTCTGAAGAAAGTAAGATTGCACCATTGTAATGATTTATCAAATCCAGAGTTCAATTTGGACCACAGGAAGGTCTGTAGTAACTGACGGGAGTGCTGTGGGGGGTGGGAGAGCCCCGGGGCCGCTGTACGGTCTCAGGTGGTTCCCCTTGTCCGGGAGGGTCCAGCCTTTCCCTCAGCCTGGCCTGGATCTCGTCACGCGGTCGTGTGTGCCTGGTGCCTTGAGGTCACCTTCTTGCCCCGGCCTGGCCGAGAGGAGGAGGCACTGGAACCGGGGGCTAGAACTCCCTGCACCCGAAAAGGAGAAAGAGGGACCGTGTGGGCCTGGCCCTCGACGGAAGCACAGTCTGACCTCCTTTCCAGGGACAGCAGAGTGGCTGCCGTCATGTGTGGATAGAAACAGAGTCGCATCCTCTGAAGGAGCCCCAGCCTCGGCCCCGCAGCTGATCCGGCCCGGAAGGCGGGGGGAAGGGGCTGTGCCCTCGCCCGTTTGCTCGGAGCCTCACCAGGCTATGCAATTTGTGGATCATGAGAAGCTGTAAAGAGCAGACCTCTGTCTCCCCGGCGCCACCTCGAGGCTGGACCATGGAGAGGTCGCTGGGTTACCTCCTCGGCTGCCTGGCCATCGCCCGGCCACCCAGCCCACGCTTCTGGCCCCAGGGCCAGGGCTGACGCACAGGCCTGGGTGGGGCCTCCGGGCCTCCGGGCCACCAGGCCGCCGTGTTCCTGACGTCACGTGGCTCTTCAGCACAGCTCACAGGCATCATTTTATCACCATAACAACCATCTATTCTCTGCAGCCACCAGAGCTCTGGACCACCTCTCCGATATCGCTTCCTTGCGATGCTGAGCAACACTTGGATGGGGAAGGTTGGCCGCAGGAGTCTATTCAGGCCTCAGGCGGTGGTGAGCTGTCACTTGTCACGGCAGGGAAAGGGCTGGGGGGAAGGCTAACGGCTGCTGACGCAGAGCCACGTTTGCTGTAAGGAGCTGGCTTGCGTGCCTCTGCCTCTGGAGGCCGAGGAGCCCAGACTCTGCTGTCACCGAGCTGGAGGCCCAGGAGGCCGACGGTGTGGTTCCGGTCTGGGCCTGAGTCCAAAGGCAGGAGGCTGAGGTCTTTCTTCCTCAGGCTTTTGTTCCTCTCAGACCCTCGTGGTGGGAGGGGCCGCTGCTGGGCGCACGTGTGCCCTCCCCAGGCCACTGGATCGGATGCTCACCGCCTGCAGCCACACCCCCGCAGACCCGCCCAGGAAGCTGTTTGACCAAACGCCTGGGCATCCGTGTTTCATCAGCTCGACATGAGGTTAACTGTCAGGCCTCCCCTCTGGGTTCTAAGCTGTGCCTCCCAGGGGTCTCTCTTCTCCAGTGAGTGGTGGGCGGGCCCGGCCCACCCTCTGTGACATTAGCCGTGTCTGCAGTGGGCGGGCAGCAGGAAAGTTCACCGAGGGCTCCTGAGGTCCCTATGGCCGCTCTGCCCCCATCGCTCCTCCTGATGCGCCCGGTGGGTTACGTCTGGCCTGCGTGCCACCGGGACCGCCCTGCCGGGATGCTGTTCTCCCTGCTCCGCACGGCCGGGGCCAACGCACGTCTGCGAGTGAGCGGGTGATGCCCTGCTTCCCTCAGGAGACGCAGTCGGAAAGCCAGGCCGCAGCGACACTGGGCCCGAGCCTGCTCCTCTGGTGGTCCTGAGGTTGTCACCCCGAGGGGACCGGGTGTGTCCCACGCTAACAGGGCCCCTGCAGATCTCGCCTCTCCAGACCCCAGGCCTGCTCGGCCCCCGCCCATCACGCACTTCGGGGTCCACCCGGCCTCCAGGAGGACGCCTGGCCTCTGGGAGCCTCTGTCTGGCTGGCGGGCTGGAGGACAGCTCCCGGCTTTGGGGGAGGGTGGGGCTCCCAGGACCACAGGACTGGGAGGGGGACTGGGCCTGGCCGTACCGTCAGGATCCCAGGGCCCCTGCTGTAGAGTCCAGCACGCAGAGTGCAGACATGAAGGTGACCATGCATTTTGCTGCTTCCAGACGGCGCCGCGCCACAGCAGGTGCTCACAGAGGACAGCGAGCTGGTTTCCCGGGGCTCCCCCCGTGGTGCTTCCACGCTGTCCAGAGGCTGACAGGAGCGTGTCTACCCCTCAGCACGGCGTTCAGATATGTGCTGGTGACTTTTCTGCAGGGCCCCGGGAGCGACTTCCCGATGGGATGTCAGCCCTAAGGTGGATTTGCAGGGAAGTGACGTCCCTTCTGTGTAGAGAAGCGGGGGAGGCTGGGGCAGCGGTGCTGTCTCCGGGCCTGGCTCCTGCTTGCAGGTGGAGGGTGTGTGGGCAGGAGCGCACACAGAGTCTTCCCCCAGGCACCCCCGGGGCACGTGCCTTTTGGCCACTGATTTCCAGGGTGAGTCGCCAGCCACTACTGTCTGTGCAGGTGAACAAGTCATCTCCTGGGGACAGATGGCCACCAAGGTCAGCCGGCACACGTGGGTGTCAGGTGACAGCCTGCAGCAGCCCCCACAGCTGTCAACAAACTCTTGTTGAATTTATAGCAACCAAGGCTGTAAGGGGAGCGTGTGACTTCCTAATGCAGGCAGCTGGGACACTCCCTCCAATTGCTTCAGGCAGATAGACACCCACCAAGGCCTTGGTAAGATGCCCTGTGGTCCTTGGGCAGCCCCCACCAAGCCCCTGCCTGGGTGCTGCAGGTGTCTGTCCACCTGGAGGAGACTGTGCACCTGGAGGGGATGGTCCACCTGGAGGTGACTGTCCACCTGGAGGGGACGGTCCACCTGGAGGTGACTGTCCACCTGGAGGGGATGGTCCACCTGGAGGGATGGTCCACCTGGAGGGGATGGTCCACCTGGAGGAGATGGTCCACCTGGAGGTGACTGTCCACCTGGAGGGGATGGTCCACCTGGAGGGATGGTCCACCTGGAGGAGACGGTCCACCTGGAGGTGACTGTCCACCTGGAGGGGATGGTCCACCTGGAGGGATGGTCCACCTGGAGGGGATGGTCCACCTGGAGGGACAGTCCACCTGGAGGAGACTGTGCACCTGGAGGGGATGGTCCACCTGGAGGGGAACGTGCACCTGGAGGGAACTGTGCACCTGGGGGAGACAGTCCAGCTGTGGGAATATCCACTGGGCTGAGCCAAGTAAGCGGCTGGCAAGAGGCTGGAGAGAGGAGAGCCTGGGTCCCTCGGTGTCCAGCTGCAAAGGTGCGTCGGGCTGCCTGTCCTCGACTGGCAGCTGACAGAAGGGCCTCTTCTGAGCTCCATCAGGACCGAAGGGCAGTTCATACTCCCCCTCTTTTTAAAGAAAGTTCAGGCGAGGCTGAGGGGTGGGAAGAAGACCTTTCGTGGCTTGTCCTCTCCATGCCCGGAGCCGGAGCTCCCTTTTCACGCGAGTGGGAGCAGACCTCCCCAGAGCGAGCTCCGCCGCGGGCCGTGTGGGGCGGGCGCACGTGGCTGTCTGTGGCCTGGGGCCCCGTGACCTGCCAGTGACCGAGCCCCCTCCCTGACTGGGAGCTGCACTTCCGCGGGGTCTCTCCTTCTTAACCGGAGTAGAGCTGCTTTACGGCGTTGGGCCAGCGATTCAGTCACACACACACAGACTCCTTCCCGTTCTAAGTCGTCAAGGCTGCTGACTACAGCTCCCTGCGCTGTCCACGCGCACCCGTGGGTTCTTACCTGGACCGAGGGGGCAGGGGGCCCCGCCCCACGCTTCTGCCCCACAGCCTCAGCGGGAGAGGCGGGTCGTGTCCCTAGCTCTGGGTTGAGCTCCGTTTGTTGGGCAAGGAATGTCTAGTTAACATGTCACCTTACGCCTTGGAGAAAGCTGGTCCAGTTGAAAAATAAATCAAATGACATGATCGAACGCTGGGCCAAGCTGCAGACTCACACGGGGAGAAACTGCGATGCAGACCCTGGGTGCGTAAACGCCCCTTCACGAGAAACACCTGAGCAACACTCAGCTGTCATCCCGCTAGCAGGGCACTTGCCACGCGCCTCCCCTTCGGTGGGAGAGCTGACGGCCCTGCAGGTCTGCAGGGAAATGAGGGCAGGCAGCACTCACCGCCTGGCACACGGTGGGGTGCTTGGTGCGGTTGATGCCGCCGGCGAACACTGAGAAGGTCAGAGCCGCGTGGAAGCAGAAGTTCAGGAGCGCGTGCCGGCCTTTCCGGCTGATCCGGATAGCGCTGCGGGGACGGAGAGTTCGCGTCAGGACCTGGCATCTCGGGGCGCAGCGCAGGCGGGAGCCCGCTCGCCGAGAGCCACGTCCCGTCGGTGGGGGAAGGGGCTGAGGAGCTCAGAGCCTGGCTGAGACGGGGCCGAGAGCGACACTCCGGAAAGACCAGACTGTGGGAAGGACAGACCCTGCTGGATCCCCCTTGGTCGGTGGCCGTGGGGTGGCTTGGTGTTAAGTCCCCTGGGGAATCTGGAGCACCTGCCCGTGGGACAGGTGAGGACACTGAGGCCCTGAGACCTTGGGGCTTGTCCAAGGTCACAGACAGAGAGGGGAGAGAGGAAAGCCACCAGCCACGCCTCCTGGTTCCTGGGACAGAGCTCTCTCCGCTCTGAGTGGACGTCTGACACCTGGTGGCTCGGACGCACTGGAACACCCCCCCACAGCCCAGCCTCTCCCTGGACTAGGATGTGCCTGTGGCGTGTCCATGTCCACGACCACCCCGGACCCAGTGATAGCCAGACAGACTGCTTAGCCTCTGCCTGCTGCTGTCATCGCTACCCCAGCTCCTCTGTGGCCTCAGTCGCACCCAAGCCTCCTCCCCGACCCCAGCTGTGGACATGACTCTTATTGTGGACTTCACGCTGCTGGGGGCCAGCATCCCGCCTCACATTTCTCAGTGAATCTTCATGTGATGCCCTCTCCCCAGGCAGAGGTGGCCCGGGAACCAGCTCAGCAGGAAACCAGCTGGACTCTCCTCTGGACAAAGCAGAGGCAGAGCTGCCCGAAGGGCTCTGCCGGCTGCTCCAACTGCCCAGAGTGGGGCGGCCAGGGTGTCTGGCCAGTGGAGGGGGTGGACTGCAGCTGACTGACGAGAACGGGGAGGCTGGCGTGGAGGGCGTGGCTGTCCCTGAACCTTTGGCCACCCTCGGCCACTGCCAGGCTCGCGCCGGCCTGCCACCTGTGACATCCCTCCTGGGCACTTCTTGCTACGCGAGGGCAGGGGTCTCCCAGAGGGTCTGCACTGGAAGGCGGGCGTGCGTCCAGGGCAGGGCGCCTCACCTGCGGTGAAGGACGTAGGTGGCGGCGGAGGCCAGCAGGCAGAGCAGCATGACGGCGGTGCAGGCGTACACCACGGGGTGCAGGAACTCCCCGGGGGCCTGGGGCAGGGAGAGGACGGCCCTCAGATCCTGGAGAGGACACAGAGCAGAGCGTGACCCACGTGGCCGGGTGCCTGGGCAGACCCACTGGGCTCTCCCTCGGCCCTGGGCTCTCCCTGCGTTGGTGGGAGGATTCTCGGATCAGGTGGGGACTTGCTGGGTCTCAGCAGAGGCGGACAGTCTGTTTGGGCAGGGGAGGACAAACACTGCCCCGGTGGGTCTGCTTCGCTGCGAACGTCTTTGTGGGCTCTGACGGCAGCTCCCGAAGGACAGTGTTTCCGCTGTGCCCGGCAGCTGGCCTCTGGCCTCTGGCCTCCTTCCCACCCAGTGCCGCTGATGGAGCCTCGGGGCACCTGCGTCTGTCAGAGGCGCTCGCTCAGCTGAGGGCACGGCTGCCCCGGAGGCCTGGATGCGGCTGCAGAGGCAGCAGCTCACATCAGACCACCCCAGGCCCCAGGTCTGAGCCTCACACCCACCGACGCTCTGCTTTTAGGGACATGGCTCAGGTGGACGAGGTCACAGGACCAGCGTCCCTGTAAGAATAGGGACAGTGGGAGCTCAAACACGGAGGAAGGGCCGCGGGCCCACATGGTGGGAAGGAGCTGTCTGCACACCAAGGAACAAGACCTCAGGAGAAAGCGGCCTGCGTGCAGCTGTGCCTTGCACGTCCAGCTCCAGGACCGCAAGAAAGAAATTCCTGTGGTTTAAGCCACCTGCCGTGTGAGACTTTGTTACTGTCACCCTTGGGGACAAATGCTCCCCACTGGGTGGGTGGTCTGGCTCTCGGTGCTCAGGCCAGAGGGTGAAGTCCTTGCTTGACCCCCAGCCCAGGCCCTGAACCCCCCACTTTGCCCCCATGGCCCCTGGGGGATGTGCCTGGCTCTGGGAGGACAGGCTGGGGGCCGTGCCCACTGGTGAGGGCTGCCAGAACCCCGGTGAGGCCCCAGAGCTGCCCCCATGTTGACCATGGGGCTGGGTGGTCAGGGCGGGGCCTGCCTCTGCACTGGCCCCGTCCCCAGGCCACGGCGGTGTCCAGTGCTGACATGCCCACCCCGGGCCAAGGGCGGCTCCAGACGCACAAGCCCCAGGCAGTAGGCGCAGCTGGTGGAGCCTCCAGACCGGGAATGGGGGATGGAGAGATGGCCGGAGAGGCTGTGGCCCGTCCACGGCAGGAGGCAGAAAGCAAGCCTGTCTGAGCCCTCAAGCTGCTTTTCTCCTGAGGGACACCTGTCATTAGCCCAGCTGAGATGACACCTTGCCAGCCAGCAGGTGCGGGATGTGCTCAGAGGGAGCCGCCCACTACCCAGTGGGGCCTCGGCCCCGACTCGGCCCCGACGCAGGGACTTTGATGAGGACGGCTCTCTGTTGTCCTGGCAACGGCTGATGGAGTCCCATCACCTGGGAAAGGCCCTGAGTGACGTGGACGCCTGGGGGCTCCTCAGCGTCTGGCTGTGCAGGGGCCCGGCTGACACGCGAAGCAGGAACAGTGTCCGGTCCCAGAGTGAGCCGACGGCCAGGGAGGCGCTGGACAGCCACTCCACAGACCTCACCACGGCCGCCCTTGTGCTTGGGGCCCGACTGCCCACGGGCTAGGAAGTCTGACTGGCAGGTGTGGACGTGCACAGACCATCAGTGATGCCCACCCGGACACACGGGCTGTCAGTAGGACACATGCTGCTCACAGCCCAGATCCCAGGAAACCACGAGCTCAGGAGGAAAGGCAGCCTCAAGGTGACGGGGATGCAGAGTGTCCCCAAGGGAGACCCGGAGGTTCTGCTGGCTCCAGCCGCCTGGGGAGGCATGGCCCTGGGGCAACGGGCCTGGCACGGCTTGCAAGGACGGTTTTTCCCAGCCTCACACAATGCCTGGTGGAGCCACTGCCTAGGGCGTGAAGGCCACGGGGCCCGGTCCCGCAAGCAGGAGCCTTCGCCTGGGGAGGGGGGCCCCCATGACGGGCAGAATGGCCCAGTGGAGAACAGGCATTTTGTAAGAAAGAGTGTGCAGGGCCGGAAACACAGGCTGCCCCTCATTTCTCAGGGACGTTCAGCTCCCACTGGCGTCAGGGACACCGGGGCGTCCTGACCCCGGCACATTGCCATCAGGGTGGCAGGAAGGGGACCCGCGGCTGAGAGTCCCAGGGCACTTTTGCACCCGTCAGGTCGAGGGCACCAGCCTCCTGTCAGATGCAACTCAAGGCGAACATCGCGGACACCGGGTCTCCTTGGTCAAGCCCTGACCGCAAGTGGCCTTTTCGCCTGTGGTTCGTCTGAGAGCCGTCGGCTGGGAGCAAGCGGGCCCAGGTCCCACAGGCGGCCACGTGTCCTGGGCCTGTGCCCGCTCTTTTCATGGAGACGATGGTTTGTTCCTCCCGTAACATCAGCTGGGTCTGAGACCCCCTGACTCTTCACAAAAGCCCACCTTGGCTTCCGGTTTCACGTCTGCACGCGAGAGCCGCTCCAGGACCGGCCGGTGCCCCGTCCTCTCACCGACCCTATCAGGACCATGTCCTCGGTGCCCCGAGGTGAAGGGCCCGGGTGTGTCCACCTTCTCGGGGTGTCGTCATTGTGGTGTGAACACTGGGGAGCTACCTCGCTGCCCCTAAAGACCGAGGTCAGACCCCTGACTCTTGTCTGGGGTGGGGGTAGGGGCAGCGGGTGGAGAGGGGTCGAGGAAAGCTAGCCCGCGCTTCCCAAGCAGCATCCCCGCAGGGACTGGACGGCCGGGGTCCCTGTGTCCGGGAGCCATCAGCACATCTGGCCCTGGGAGGGGTGTCCAGCAGCCGGACCGTGGTGGCGGGCTCACCTCCAGACGCGTCCTATCTGCCACTTCATTCACACGCACAGACCCTCTGTCTTAAGCCAAACAAGGGTCAGAGCTGGTTTTCCTGCAGCAGGAACGCACCCTGGAGCATCAGTGCAGGACCAGTGTTCGCACAGCCCGAGGTCTCCCCACCTCCGGGGCTCCTGCCTTCCGGTCGAGGCCCCGGTTTTGGGGCCTCACCCAGGTGAAGGGGTCCCTGGCCCCGAGTGACTGCATCCACCATGTATGTTTTAGAAGAAACAGATTCAATTCCATTTAGCCTCCTGGTTTTTTTTCTTCTCTAAATTAGAGTTATCAACAGTGCTTTCTACATTTTTAGAGGTGACATTTAAAATTCAAAGTAGGTAATGCAAAACGGAGATACGTTTTATATTTTAAAGTTCACACATGTACAAGTTCCTCTTGGAAGAATCCACCCTGCAGGTGTTCCGTGGGCAAAGTCCCTGTAATGGCCCAGCACATGGTCAAACAGCATCGAGCTGACTGCCTTCTCTGGACACGACCTTCGGGGGCTGCGGGGCCGTCAGGGCTCCTGGGACCAGTGACAGGGACGGAGTGTGCAGAGGGGTCCACAGAACCCACAGACAAGCTGGGGTGAAGGCCACCGCCAGCCTCCTTGGCGGATGGCCGCACGCCGGCTGCCGGAGCCGCAGTCCTGCCCCGCGTGTGGGCGTGAGCCACCGGTCCCGGTCCACTTCTGCGCCCGCCAGGAGTGGCCGGCGGGCGTGCTGTCTCCTCTGAGAAGCCCTGGC